AAAAAAAAAAAAAAAAAAAAAAAAAAAAAAAAAAAAAAAAAAAAAAAAAAAATTATATAAATATTTTCTAAAATATACGAATGCAAAAGTTTGGATATATTAATAAAACGGTTCAATAATTTAAATTTGTTGTTATTTATGTATTGCAAATTCCAAATAGGTTTTAAGTATTAATTAATTTATTTAAGTGAGTTGCTTTTCTCTTAAAACAGTTCTACTTTTTGACTTTAAGCCATAAAAATTTGAATTATTTGACAGGTTTTAAATCAAATTCAACCTTATTATTTATAATGACAAAACAGCTCAATCACAAGAATAATTGTGTATAATTAAATAAAACTTTGGTTGATTTTTGGGTGATAATAGTTATAAATAGGCAATAACTAATAAATATTTATTACAGCCGCTATCAATGATAATGATATCAACCTGTTGTACCTTTTTTTTGGGCTTAATTATCATGTTAAGTCTCAGATTAAGATGCATGTGAATAAGAACGCAACATGTTGGAATGACTTGTGTTAGCTTGTAGAAATAATCTTCACTCTTACAAAGCGAAGAGTAGGTAATGTGACCATAATTGCTGGAATGACTCGTGTTAGTTTGTAGAAATAGCTTTCACTCTTAAGAAGCGAGGAGTAGATAACGTGACTATATCGTAAGGGATGCAAGAGAATATGGTTCGAATATGACGGGATGTTGTTGAGGTAAGAGTGGGAGGATAGACATCTTACCATTTTTGTACATCAATATATTAGCTTCAAGAATGCCATAAATTAGCCATATCACCTGCCCCTCACCCATAATTATTTACTCACAAGCCCTCGCCCACAAATATGTATTTAACAACAACACCCCACACTTTCCTTAATTTACCCACACGACCCCAACATCTTTGAGACAACAAACATGTGGAACCAATAATTCTATCCAATGGGGAATATTTGTAATCGGGACGAATTATGTCGAATTATGTCGGAGCTTTCGAAACTTTCACTAGTTTTTTCACTGCAGATATAGTCTAGTTAAAATTTTAGATGATTTTATATCAGGAAATTGTTGTAAATTGTCGTAAGTTTTTTATTTTATTTAGTAATTAATTCATTCAAAATATAACCATTTTGATTAAATAAGAATATTAATTTGGTGATTTAATTTATAATCATTTTAATTAAAATCTTATTTATTTTGGTTATAAATCCTCTTAGTATGCAATGGTTTTTTTATTAATATTCTACACGAATTATCCCTATATAAATAGTGTGTCTAGAAGGTTGTTGATATCGGAATTTGACATCGGAATTTGATATCAAAATTTGAGAGAGTTTTGTGTGTCACATTGTATTTCTTGAGTGACATATTGGTGAGAGTGTTTGTTGTGTGATAGTGAGGTATTCATTTGTAATACTTTGATTATTAGTGATGGGTTGCTACCCATGGATATAGGGAAACTTCTTCTCTCTGAACCACGTAAATATTTTGGTGTCTATTTGTGTAATTTCGTTCATTGGTGTTGTGAGTACATTTGTTCCGCTTTCGAAGCATAACATAAATTAATCTATTCATCTTCAAAAATTTTGAAAATTATTTTTACAAGTTTGTTATATAATTTTAAATAATTTGCATGATTTCAAAATCTTATTAGTATAGTTCGTGTTTCAATAATAATTTTTAAGGTTTATATTACATGATCGATTCATAGGATATTTCTAAGCATGATTCTCGTGTAGGGCTGCAAGCTCCTCATCCGTGGCCACCTTTCAATGGGGCAACCTTAATGCTGTCCTATATGTTTTGGTCACTCTCCTAGTGATTGGTTGATGAATATGTATTGAATGGGTAGGCTCAATGTTGACTGATGGTGTACCAACAGAATTGGATTCAGTTCAAGACTGATAACTCAGCTTCGGTAGCTGTGGCATGCTAGCATTGAAACGCTGTCCCAAAAACACTACAAATTTCTAATAAGGAATGATAGCGTGTCGAGATGTCGTAGGCAACGTCTTGATGCTATGGACAAAAACATGAGTGCATGAATGTTTGTGTGTGTGTGTGTGTGTGTGTGTGTGGAAGAAATATGTGACACGACACATGACACTATTTTTGTAGCATTGAGATGCGGCTGCAGATTGCTTGGCTTGTTTGATGCAATTTTTGGTGTTTAGACAACTCTTGACAGCGTTTCACGTTGTCTCTCTTTGAGCCTTTTGGCTTGTTTCCTTCTCTTACTTAGTTCCATTTTCTTACTACTTTGATAAAGAAAGAAAGTTCTAATTTTGCTTCAAATGCTCAAAACTATGTGTGATTAATCAGATATATAATTGTAAAACAAAATATAAAACTCAAATACAAAGACAGACTGACGTTTTAAAATGATCTATAATGTGATTGCATAACTCTAAAATGCTGATTCACTTCGATCGACAGCTTACGAACACCAAAAAAAAGTAAGGAGAAAGGGATGAGTATAAACATATACCTCGTAAGCAATCTGGTTGTAGGCTATTATCGCATCTTTATCCTAATAAGTATCCATGAGCTTTCCTTAGGACTCTAAGAAGTTCGGGCCTAGGTATTGCTATCTGAGCAACTGGGTACCTTAATTTTTCGAGCAGGTCTCTGAACTAAAGTGTACCCATAGGGGTTTGTGCTGGTTTAATCTTTCTTTTCTATGACTTGGGTGGGTTGTCTTTCTGAACTGAACTGAAGTGTCTTGGGTTGAGATGCGACCTCATAAGATGCGATACGGCTGGTTCTAAATTTGAACAACAATTTGACAAACCCTCCCATGGGACCAGTGTCCATGGGGTTAGTTGATAGATCCTCCCATTGGACCAAAAGTTGTGAAAGTTTGGGAGAACCAATTTTCTGTGTCAATCAGCTATTAGGTCGCCTACATGATCCCACACTCCCCTGCTCTGGGACAGGTTTACAACACAGAGGTTCTATTTAGGAGACCCCTAGTCATCTCCACTAGATTGTGGCATGTGTCGTGTTACCCTAATCGGCACGCCTAGCTCCACAATATGGGAACAAGAGTAGAGTCTTGAGGTACGGTACTAGAGTGAAAAGGGTAGTGGATAGACTGATGACAATATTCACGCTACTATAGCATGATGAGTTATCTTGGTCATTTTTGGTTTTCGTGGAGGCCTACGAGATTCTTAGGAGCTTTTAAGCAACTTAAATCTCATCTCTCAATTTTAGGACGCTAGGGGTTTAGCTCTTCGGAGCTAATCCATGTCTTTAGGTGTACTTAGGTCCAGACCTCTAATCATTGCTCACAATCCTAAGGTGTAGGGTCTATTGGAAATGTTTGACCTGGGTCAAAGTGTAAAGGGCACTACCTGTGGCACACAAATCTTAACTTAGTTCTCTCATCGCTTTACTAGGGAGTTATACCTATTGATCACCTAAGCACGTATTTCATAATTTAAACTTCACCTTGGTCATATTTGGGGGTTGAGGTCTATTAGATTCCTAAGGCATCTAGGTGGCTTAACACGAACTTCTAGCTCCAGGTTGCTCTGTTTTGACTCATAGAGTCTTTCTTAACTTGGGAGCACTAGGGTCTAGGCCCTCTAACCATCACTCACGATCCTAAGGTTCTCAGTCTACTAGAGGCGTCCTGAACTAGGTCATCATCTAGTCAACCTAACTCTAGCGCCCGAGCTTTGTGCAGATAAACACTCTCTACAAAGGAGAATACAGTCAAACACCTAGAGCTAACACATACTATATCATCCACACATACAAGCAAACAAGTTCAATGGAGAGATAACGTCCATTAATCACTTGGAGCATATATCACAATAGCTCATCCTCCCTTCTAATACGACAGAAAGCATATAAATCAACATTCATCACAATTTTAATCATAGGGGCATTTTGATAATTTCTTACATCATGCATAAATACTCATCCATATTGTCTAACTTGTATTCTAGTCGTGCATATGCTCTTTGTAGCTTTGCATAATACATAAAACAACATGCTTCTCGAAAATTTCAACATAGGGGCATAACAGTAATTTTACCATACTCATCCAAAAATGCCTTTATGAAATCCTAAACCTGCATTTTCTAACCACATAAGGAAAGAAATGTTCTCATACTAGTGTTGTAATAGAAGCAGAAACAAGATCAATCGCACTCACGTACCCACAAACAGAAATAAAAAAAAAAAAAGATATGTTTGTTTGTTATTTTAACAACAAAAAGAAATGAAAAACATCATATACTCAAAAGCTTTCTCCCCTCAAGTTGTTGTTAGTGTTTCATTTATTTGTTTTGACATATTTTGACCCTGGTCGTTGAAATGACCTAAACACATATTCAATAATTTTCTAATCTAAAGGAAGATATTCTAAATTGGTTAACTTATGCCGAAGCTCACACACATCGATGCTTGGATAGAAGCCGTCATTTTCAACTTGGCATTCAATTGTGTGAAGATACCTCTCATTTACTTTGGTCGTAATGCAACTCAGAATTTCGAGTCCTTCGGCAGCTAAAACTCGAAGAATGTTGGAGACAGAGAGCCTATGTTGGATGGCTGTGTCTAAAACAACTTGAATTCCTAATCCATTTTTCGACCTCACCACCACTGAATCCCTCCGTGAGGAATTAAGCGTTTCCACATGGCCATATTCTCGCCGGAGAGATTTTTGAGCTTATCTCTTTTATCAAACAATTGTCGGATTCTTCTCTGCATATATTGAATGTACTTGACAGTTTCATACATATGGTCAGATATCGAGCGCTTTCCCTATGACAAAAGAATGTTAATTTGTGAAAAAGAACATAGCCCATCGAAGAAAATGGTACCTTGAGGTATTCGAGAGGGAGAAGAGAGCGAAGAGAGGAGTAATGAGAGGACATTTCTTGTCTCCTTTGGCGTTCCACATCTCTATGCATAATCTTATTCCTTTTTTGTTCGTTGGGGTTCTCATCGTTGGAACCGTTGGGCGGTGGGTTTCTCCTGTTAGATAAAAGTTTTTTCTTATTTAGATTCACACGATTTCAGAATACCTCCGTTTGACCATTTGACAAAACAAGTCGAATGAATCACCAAAGTTTTAGAAGGCAATTTTGTAGGGACTGGCACAGATTTAGTTAGCCACTCTCTAGTCATTTTTAGGATAGTTTATATTTAAATAGAAAATCTGTTCACAATATTGAATAACCTGACGGCAGTCAAAATTTCAGCTATTCTGTCTTCTATTTTATGCATTTTATTTTTCTTTCAACAACCTCTCGTCGACCATTTCCTCTCACCGAATTTCTCTGGCTGATTATAGAAAAACAACAAGTGATATCAAAGCCAGGTTGAAGCCATCGGTGTATATCATTGCGGAGGAGCCAACTTATCAACTAATAAGTTGAATAGCTCAAGTGGTTAGAGCATCAATCTTACAACACACAGGTCTCAGGTTCAATGAGTAAAAGAAAATGCAAAGTGTAAAAACACACACATCGTGGGGGGCTCACCTAACGGCGGAAGAGGTGATCGGAAAAACACACGCATCGTGGGGGGCCCACCTAATGGTGGAAGAGGTTTGATGATATGTTTTCTTTATACCCGACTCAACCCTTTGTATTGTAAATTTTAAAAAATATTGAAAAAGTTGTAAAAATTTATATGATCATATAATAACAAAAAAAATAATAATAATTTAAAATAAAAATAATTTTTGAGTTAGTTTTGATTCAATTTTTATTTATTTGAATTTAATTCCACCTAAATATTTGATAATTCAACCAAAAACTATATCAATTATTGCAATTTTTTCTCAATTTAAATTCCATTAATTGACCTACTACTTTTTTAAAAAAATTGTAATCTTTATAAATTTATTAATTACAATTAAATAATTTACAACATGTATTTAATTAATTATATTTTTGTTTTTTATTTCATAATTTTTTACAAACTTCGAATACGAGAAATTCTAAAGATATGATAATTAGAAAATACTCAAAGAAATTAATACATATTACATATACAAATAAATTGTACTTTCCTTTCTAGAGTTGAAAATCTACTATAATTTTTACTATTTATATAATTCTTTGTGAATTAAAAAAATGCTCAAAAAAATTAATAGATATCAAGATTTATAAAGATTATAGTGAGAAAATAAAATTTTAAAATAACTATTTTTAAAAAAATAATAATAAATGAAAAAAAAAATACACGCCGGAATTTCCACTCCTATCTCAAAAAAAAAAAATAATAATAATAATAATAATAAATGGAAAATTTCACACGGAGAGAGAATGAAATAGCTAGTGGGGATGAGGGACAGAATGGAGAATTGTTCCTCGTCTCCGTCTCCGTCTCCGTCCCCGTCCCCGTCCCCGTCCCCATCCCCGTCCCCGTCCCCGTCCCCGTCTCCGTCCCCGTCCCCGTCCTATAGACATCTCTAATAATGAATCCAACTTCAACGAGCATAATTTTATTCCATAAGGAACTAGTTAATCTTTTACATTACGCAGAAAAAGTTGAATTGAAGAAGGAAAACACGTGTCTAAGGTTCAATGGTGAAGAGAAGACGCTAGCATTGTTTCAAAGAAGGCAAAAGCCCTTCCTTCTTAGCCATTTCATAGAGTCCAATGGCCATTAGAGCCTTCGCATCTGCTGTAACTCGCCACAGTTTTTCATAGGGAACAACATGAACCTTAATCAGCTCACCATGATCCCTGAGTCCGGTTTCCTTTCCTTGCAGCTCTGCAATTGTCTCTTTACTTGCAGATCCTCGGTACAAGAACAGACCAATTCCCTCATCACATCCACCCTAACCACCAACGTGTAACATAATGTTTAGTATTGCTCATACACAAAACAACCCACAATGTATAAAACTAAGGATGTTATTTGGATATGCCTTTTGTGTAATGATTTCTTTAGAACTGTGATAAGCATTCAAGAGTCGACGTGTACACAAGAAATTGCAAAAAAGGGTAAGTCACAAATGAATTAGTTAGAAGAGAGGAAACTTTTTGGGTAATCATCGTCTGCGGAGAGAGTAAGACCCAATCGAATGTTATAGGCTGGTGTGAGAATGTGAGATCCCACAACTATTGAAGAGAGGAATGAGTGCCTGCGAAGACCTTGGGCCATGAGGGTGTAGATTATGAGATCTCACATCTATGGGACGAGAACCAAACAATCCTTATAAGGGGTGGAAACTTGTCCCTAACAGACGCATTTTAAAAACCTTGAGGAGAAGCTTGAGAAGGAAAAAGTCACCAAAAGAGGAAAATATCTGCTAATAGTTCCTCGTACAACTAGCAACTCATACAACTCTATTTGGCAAGAAACTAAACTTAGAATAAGAAGTTTCTTGCCACCCTACCTTATATTCCCAAAAGACAGTAGCTCTTAATAAAACATTCCAGTAAAACATTGCAAATTAAAGATCATAGATCTTGTAGGAATATGAGGATGCGAGATCCCACGTCAGTTGGGAAGGGAAAATAAACATTCCTTATAAGGGGTGGAAACCTGTCCCTAACAGACGCATTTTAAAAACCTTGAAGGGAAGCTTGAGAGGGAAAGAGAGAAAAAGAAAAAAAAATATCTGCTAATAGTTCCTCATACAACTCTGTTTGGCAAGAAACTTAACTTAGATTAAGAAGGTTATTGCAAACCTACCTTATATTCCCAAAAGACAGTAGCTCCTAATAAAACATTGCAGTAAAACAACAGATTTATTTAGGAATCTAAGGATGTGAAAACGTCAGTTGGAGAGGGGAAATAAACATTCCTTATAATGGTGTGGAAACCTCTCCCTATGAGACGAGTTATAAAACTATGAGACTGACGGCGATACGTAGTAGGCCAAAGCGGACAATATCTACTAGCGGTAGGCTTTGACTGTTACTGAGGAAAAGACTAGCCTACTCACGATGGCAAATTTTGAACCATTGATATCAATGAAAATGAACTTACAGGAGAAGGAAAGACTCTGCATCCCGTCGATGGGTCCAAGAAGCCAGTAAGATCGACCATGTCCTCAAGCTTTAATCGAATGCCAATTTCTTCTTCAACCTGCCATGATTACCACGTCAAAGGACACATCAAAAGCCAAAGAAACCCTTCACCCTTCTATAGAAAATACAAAGATTTCCTATAGAAAAAAGAATCAAATTACCATACATATTAGTATATCAGCATAAACTCAGGGAACCTTTTTTTTTTTCCTTTTTTTTTTTTTCCCACATTACAAAACATAAAGTTGCATCACATCAAGAGCGAGAGAGAGAGAGATCGGACCTCACGAACCGCAGTGCCAACAAAATCCCCCTTATCATCATCCAACATACCAGCAGGCAATTCCAACATGAGCTTCCCAACCGGAACTCTAACCTTAAACATAAAATTTCAACTCTGTGTGATCAAGATTCAAATTTCAAGCAGTGTTTCACAATATAAACAACCTAAAAATTGTGACCTCTGATAGTTATTAGCATCCAATTACATGGCTAACGATTTATTCTCAACAAAACTCATAAACTTCAAAGAATAATAACATATAAAACGAAATAAACATCTACCTGCTCAGTGAGGACAGCATAAGTTTCTCCTTCGCAACTCAAAAGGATAAGCACAGCAACAGCAGGTCCTCTCGCAAAAACAATACCTGGAACCTATACTACATTTAGGTCGTGGAAAACACCAGCTATGTTATAACAGCCCAAGCCCACTGCTAGCCGATATTGTCCTATTTGGGTTTTCCCTTTCGGACTTCCCCTCAAGGTTATTAAAACGTGTCTAGCAGGGAGAGGTTTCCACAACCTTGTAAAAAAAGGTTTTGTTTCCCTCTTCAACCAACGTGGGATCTCACAATCCACCCCATTCGAGACCCAGCGTCTTTGCTGGCACACCGTCTGTTGTCCACCCCCTTCGAGGCCCAGCGTCCTCGCTGGCATACCGCTTGGTGTCTGGCTCTGATACCATTTGTAATGGTTGAAACCCACTGCTAGCAGATATTGTCCTCTTTGGACTTTCCCTTTCGGGCTTTCCCTCAAGGTTTTAAAATGTTTTTCACACCCTTATATAAAGAATGCTTCATTCCCCTCTCCAACCGATGTGGGATCTCACAATCCACACCGTATAAGAAAGGGCATTGTTTTTATCCAAGTTTATCAGAAGAGTAAATCTAATTACATTAGTGCCTAATTGATTTCCTTAGCTTAATACCAACAAATATGGCTTCATTCTGATTAACAGAAAGGGAAGAGATAAGAATAGAGCATATTTCAGAGGAACATTTTAATAAGTGATAGTAGTAATAGTGATCTAATTATAATTTATGATTGCTTACTAAATGAGTTAAACAGCTCCACACTTTACAAAGTGTTGTCCAAATAATCCAAAGTTATTTTGAACAACCATTGCTAAAATTCACCTTCCCAAGTACTGATTATCTATCAAAATCGCCAAATACCTTCTTCCCGGTTTGCTTATCGTAGATATCGGCTTGAAATTTGAGAAACCCAATTCTGCTTCCGAACATATCAACTCCCTGAACAAAACATTCCTTCATTACATTATGACCAAAGTGGATTTCCCAAAAAACTCAAAGCTAAAACTCGATGAGTTTATTTTCCACCACCTGAATAAGCACGCGCTTCAGAGACATGGCTCCCTGGGCTAAAATCCCACTCTCACCTTGCAAGTTCATCAGCCATTGTTTGAACAACGATGAATCCACAGCATTCCTGCAATATCAAGAATTAAATAGTGCCTCAACAAAATAGTTATTCTCTTGTAGAAAAATAAGAGTGGAAAGGGAATCGAACTTGCCGTAAATCGGAATCGGAGAGACCGGGTGCAGCGAGAATCTGCACAGGTTGCTCGTGTTGGCAGGGCAAGGTGATGGATTGGCTTCGATTTGCAGAATCGGCCGACATTCGGCAAGAGAAGGATCTTAATCTGAAGGAACCAGTGTGAAGGAAAGAGGAAGAAGATGAAAATTGCAACCCTTTGCGCAATGAATGCAGAGAAATGGAGGGTTGAAGAAACTGCGTCATTTTTTTTACTCAGATTATTCTCTTCTCCCTTCTTTTTTATTTTATTTTATTTTATTTATTTATTTATTTATTTATTTTTCCTATTTTCACTTATCATTCCCTAAATTAATGATGTGGGACTTTTATCATCCAACAATAAGTATTTAACCGTTGAACTAGCTCTAAATAGTCGAGAGTAAGTATTAAAACTATGATCTTAGAGATTTAATAAAGAAAAAGAGTTTATCATAACCAAGAAACTTGAATACGGAAAGTCAAAGAGTTGACCGATACATTAGGAAGAACTGAGAAAGAACTAAATTTATTCCTGACAAGTCAAATTAGGAGAGCAACCCAATAAAACCTGAAACAAAACATAATCAAATATCCAATGCCCAAACAATAAAATAGATGAATGACATAAACATCCCCTTCTAAGCCATCATCAACCCAAGAATGGCAACCACCACCACCACGAACCCAATTTGGCCGGAAAGAACCGCTTTCGTTGCTGCCGATGGTGGCGGCGGTGCTGGCGAATTGGCTGGAGCCATATCCATCACTGTAATCACGAGCTTCTGACTTTGCCCACAGTGGCCCTCTTTTCCACAAATGTACCATTTCTTTCCAGACTTGGCCAGAAAAATGGGGTCGTTTCCAGTGCTGAATGGAGTCTGGTCAGCTGGGACTGTGCAATTCTGGAAGTCAGAGCCGTTGACCTTGTACACATTGTGATCTCCTGCTGGGTACTTGAAAACTGAAAAAAAAAATAAATAAATAAATAGGAATCACTACTCTTTAATCGAAAGGTTTCGTAATAATAGAGATGTATTCATTACTTATGAACTCATGAGGTGAGATTTTCTCTCAATAATCCTCAACAATTCTCCCTCAAACAAAGTACGTTGTAGAGCCTCCTCTAAGGCCTATGTAGTCCTCGAACAACCTCTCCTTAATCAAGGCTCGACTACTTCTCTGGAGTCGTCGGGCAAAGTACACATTTATTCGACATTGTTGAGGATTATTGGGACTGAGTCCCACATTGGTTAATTTAGTGGAAGATCATGAGTTTATAAGTGAAGAATACTATCTTCATTGTTATGAGATCTTTTGGGGAAACCCAAAGCAAAGTCATGAGAGCTTATGCTCAAAATGGACAAAATCATACCACTGTGGAGATTCGTGATTTCTAACATGGTATCAGAGTTACATAAGCCTTAGGAGAGACTTTTCGTGATTTCTAACATGGTATCAGAGTTATATAAGCCTTAGGAGAGACTTATACACACTTTATTCGAGGGGAGAATTGTTGAGAATTATTGAGTGTGAGTCCTTCCCTATGAGAGCTTCATACGCCTCGGGAGAGAAAGCCTTAGGAGAGACTTATACACACTTTATTCGAGGGGAGAATTGTTGAGAATTATTGAGTGTGAGTCCTTCCCTATGAGAGCTTCATACGCCTCGGGAGAGAAAGCCTTAGGAGAGACTTATACACACTTTATTCGAGGGGAGAATTGTTGAGAATTATTGAGTGTGAGTCCTTCCCTATGAGAGCTTCATACGCCTCGGGAGAGAAAGCCTTAGGAGAGACTTATACACACTTTATTCGAGGGGAGAATTGTTGAGAATTATTGAGTGTGAGTCCTTCCCTATGAGAGCTTCATACGCCTCGGGAGAGAAAGCCTTAGGAGAGACTTATACACACTTTATTCGAGGGGAGAATTGTTGAGAATTATTGAGTGTGAGTCCTTCCCTATGAGAGCTTCATACGCCTCGGGAGAGAAAGCCTTAGGAGAGACTTATACACACTTTATTCGAGGGGAGAATTGTTGAGAATTATTGAGTGTGAGTCCTTCCCTATGAGAGCTTCATAAGCCTCGGGAGAGACACATTAGTAACTAATAGACACTTGAGTCACTTTTAACGGACAATGGTATGATATTATCCGCTTTGCCCATAAGCTCTCATGGGTTTGTTTTGTACTTGACAAAAGGCCTCATAAGAGATGTATTTCTTATTTATAAATATATGATAATTTGGGACTTCAAAATCATGTACAAGTCAAATTTATTTAGGAACGACTTACTGAGGAAATCTCCGACGTAGAATGTCTTGCCTTGAGCCCATGCAGTGTAATTGACATTGGTGTTCCAGCCAGCGTCGTCTCCGACAGTGTAATTAGTGGCGAGAGCGGAAGGGGCGAAAATGGCGACAATGGAGAGGAAGAGGAAGAGATGAGAGGTGGAGATGGCCATGGGAGGAGATTGATGAAGTTGTGAGATTTAGAAATGGGTTTGATTTTTGGGTGGGAGAGGAGATGGAAAATGAGGCATATTTAAAGATAGGTGTGTGGGATGAGGGCGCCGGCCATGGACGGCCGGGCAGCTGGCTGCGGGCTGCTGAATGGGCGCTGAAGGATACAAGAAGATGGGTGGGGGTGGCTTTTGACAGCTTGTGGAGAAACGCCAGCGGCAATGCAACTGCTTAGAAAGTTTCTTAGAGATGTTTACGAAGCACATATATTTATATTTCTAATTGCATTGTTTCAACACTTGGATCTCTATGACTTTATTCCTTACAAATATAGTGGAAAAATACATTTCAACATTTTGGAAGGAAACATTAAGGACACATTGAATATTTTTATGATCGAGTTACTTACTCATTGCTTTTAAGACTGAAAACTATTCCCATTAAACACCCTTGACTATAGAGTTTCTATGATTGAGGTACCGAATTTCTTTTAAGCCTTTCTTATTTATTTAGATCGCTCTCATTCGAATGTGGTTATGGTTCATTCACGTACCTCTCTTTTACTCGGGTGTCACCTAAACTATTTTTCAAAAAACCTACAAAAAGAATGATGTCAGAATTTAGTGCAACTTATTTCGAGTTTGAATTAGTTATGGAGTATATGATATTCGTAATCCTTTAATATCTTGAAGAATATATTAGTTAAGAAATATATTTTAAATATTCCTAATAAGTTAAATTAGAATAATAATATATTTTATTTTATTATCAAGATTCAGTTAGTTTATATTTTTTTTAGATATTATTTAGTATCTTATATCTTATTGTGAAAGGTTGTGAATATCAATAAAGTTTAATAACCTTCTATCCCAATTCTATTTCTTATTCTTAAATCTGAATTCTTTAGTTGAGTAATAATATTTTCATATTTATTCACACTTTTGAGGGGTAGATATTGCTTCAAATATTTATATATTTAAATTTCTAACACTAGTTAAGAGAGTTTCGTGGCTCAAGCAAACTATTTCTTGAGTCCTATTGAATGTTTTTGAGTTGGGTTTGGTTATTTTAATTATATTTATCGTTTTAGCATCCCAGAGATGAATTTGGACAATGTTTTAGTGTTTTATATAATTAAGGATAAATTTATGATAATTTTTAAATATTTTTTTAAAAGTGTTGAAGTATAATCATAATTTTAGATAAATGAAAGATCGTGTGTATGTAACTCGCATGAAATCTTTTTGGGTGAATAAAAAAGTATGGATAAATAATATCATAGGTCAAATTTATTGGTCTTGATATATTTATACAATGCTGAAAAAACAAAGCATAAAACAGCAAAAGCTAGGTAAAAGTTGAATGCATAAAATAAATGCCTAAAATTCCAATCCCATAATCATATAATAATGCTACCCAGAACGGCAGCCACCACCCCCAAAACCCCAAGATAGGCGGAAACAGGGGATTTTGCAGCAGCACCGGATGGCGGCGGAGCGGTGGCACTCGGACCAGGCAAATGCGATGGTGGGATGTTCTGGCTTGGAGCTGGAACGATTGGCAATTGTGGGGTAGTTTGATTCTGAGCAGGCGATTGCGCTGAAGGAGAAGAGGCGGGGGGCATGGGTATCGGCTGAGCAGGGACGAGCGCCGATGGTAGAGTGGACAGGGGGTGAGCGAACTGTGGGACGCTGGCTGGGGGTGGTGGGTTTTCCACTGAAATGATAAGCTTCTGACCAGACTTACAGTCGTGGCCAATGGTTGAAATGAACCATTTGAACCCAGGAAGAGTCAATGGAACGAAATCGTTTCCGGTATTCAATGGCCGTTGATCTTTAGGCTTCGCGCACTTCGAGAACGTCGAGACGTCCACGTCTAGCACGTTGTGCACCCCTTTCTTGTACCTGAATACTACAAAAAATTTCACACCTTTTATGAACAAATTTATTTTTTGATGTATTGTTAACATTAAATGGATGGGTAGTGGAACTAGTGCCTGCTAGAAAGTTGGGTTCAGAGGAATAGATTGTGAGATTTTGTTGGAGAGGAGAATGATCTCCCTATCATACCCATTTTAAAAATTTGGAGGGAAAGTTCAAAATGGACCCTATTTGCTACGTGTGTACTTAGGCAGTTATAATTAGTATTAGAGTCAGACATTAGAGGTGTGTGGAATGGCTAGATTGTGAGATCTCATATTAATTGGAAAGGAGAACGAGTGCCAACAAGGACATTGGCCTCAAAGGAGGATGGATTGTGATATCCCCATATCGATTGACGAGGAGAATGAAGAGGAACGAGTGCCAGCAAAGACGCTACCAGGTTGGTCCCTGAGGGAGGGTGAAAGGTGAGATCCCACATCCGAATTAGAGAGAGAAACAAAATATTATATACAAAGGTGTGGAAACATTTTCCAAGTATATGAGTTTTTTAAACTTAAAGGGAGCCCGAAATGTTTCAAACCCTTCAAAGTTGAAAATTAAACTCTCTTCGTCTTTGATTCATTTCGACTCAAAACAATTAAAAAATTAACGACAAACTAACAACAAAACATGAACAAAGTTACCTAGGAAATCACCGACGAAGAACGTTTTGCCAGAAGCCCAAGACGAGTAGTCTACTCCAGTGGTCCAACCACTCCGATCCCCGACTGTATGATTGGTTATGGCCGAAACCTCATGAACCAAAAATATGGGAACGACGAGGAAGAAGAAGAGGAGACGAGAGAGGTCGGCCATTTTGAGAGGCCACATTTGAGAGACCATTTTGGTGGCATGGGTATTTATAGACACTATTTATTGAGCCCCTTCCATGCCATGGTCGCGACAACAAGAAAAGATAGGGCTTTGGTTTTGGACCGAATAAGGTTTCTTTTGTATCAAACTATGTTCCAGCTTACCTCTTCATTATCGATCAAATATTTTAAATTTTTCTCATGTGGACAATTTTATTTTTAAAATAACAAAAAAAAAAAAAAAAAAAAA